AGAGAGAGAGAGAGAGAGAGAGAGAGAGAGAGAGAGAGAGAGCCATCAGTCTTGACACATGAGCTAAACCAAATGTGTTTTACTGATGCAGTCAATAGAAATGCATCAAATCCAACGAAAAGAAGTTTGGTACTCAATTACTACAAGACACCCTTTTTTATAAGGAATTACTATCAGTCACTTAAACAAGAGTCCCAAAAGTATCAAGCTATTGTCCCTAAAGAAACAGAACGGAGAGATTTTAAAACCAAAGTAACGAATGGAGAAGCATATCAGAACCTCAGCACCACAAGGATGAAAAGTCGTCGCAATTTCGCTGTGCAATGTAAATTTCAGAATTTCATCGTTAGATGTAAAATTTCAGTATAGCAATTTGTGCAGTCTAAATTATGATAGATAAACCTGTTCCAGAAAAACTGAATCAGGAGGCTACCTGTCTATTTACAGTATCAAGATAAGGGCAGTCCCTCCGAATTTCAATTGCACGATTTCGCTTCCCTTGGCTTCTACCATGATACTCATCATCCTCATCTTCTTCCTCGTCGGATGAGTAGCCATTTTGCTCCTTGTTTCCACCATTATTTATAACTTGCTCGGCAATGTGTCCTCTCCTTCCATCATCCTCATCGTCTTCATCATCATCATCATAAGATGCAAGTGGAAGAAGAGGATTCTCGAAAGCAATTGGTGGAAGAGAGGGAGAAGAATGCTCTATTACCTTCTGCCGTTTTGGGCTTGCCTCTTCAGCCACCAAGCTATCTTCTACTTCTCGCTTCTTTGTCATTCTCTTGTCACCTCAAACTACTAAGCTTCACTGGAGATAATCAAATTTCAGATCAGTTACCTCACATCAGTAACAATTCAAAGTAATCTCGAAATTATTTTGAACCAGAAGATAAAAGTTTTAATTTGCATATACTATAATTAGTTGAAAGATTATTTAGTAAAGGAAAATGAAATATAAAACATTGTCTCTAAAATCAATTTAATCACTTTGACTAGATTCATTTATTCATCTTCAAAATTAAGAGCAGACATTCTGCAAATTCGCTAACCTAGAGTAAACCACAATGAAGCATACGACAAAGCTGACACCCATTTGAGTGTTTTTATCTTATTTTTCTTCAATTAGTCAACATAAAACTGAAGGTAAAAGGAATGACTAAAGAAGGAAAACGAAGATCAGTGTGCCAAGATCTTTACCAAAAGGAATCTAGTTCTTCACACTTTGATGTTCCTCTCGAACAAAATTGTTTCTAGATTTTTAAAGGATGAGGGCCTGAAAGAAAAGACAACGTTCATCTATTTTCTTTCGCCGCCAAATACAGAAGCACTATCAAGGAACTCTTTTACTCTCATCTCCTTTTCCCAGTATCCTCCACAAGAACAACAGTCACGGCCTGCAAGTTGCATCTACATCGAGCCACAACCATTTAGACCAGATAATCTTACAATTCTCACAATCCAGTACACACCAAAATAAGCACTAAACACGTCACGTCCCATCTCCTAGCCCTCTAAACTCTGGCTGAGTGATTGCTGATACTACACGCCATACTTGCAACTAATATCTAATCCATATTTCCTTCTCGGTGACATTACAAGAATCAAAAAAGATTAAGTTAGAACACTCTGATAGTACAGAGTACAGTATCAGTTTCCCTTATTGGTACCACGCAGAAACCAAGCCTAGCGCATATACTTGCATCTCTCAGTTTGCAATTGTAGTATAGGTTAGCGGACCACAAAACTCGTAGGTGTTTAGGATGCTCAATGAATAAGGTGAATACAGTGGAAATATATCAACATCATGAAAAGAGAACATATGTAAGAAGTAGAGGCTGATTTTGGAAGATCAAAATTCCGAGGAAGAGATCTTTGACATGCTAAGCACGGAGCAGACATGGTTGGTATATCTAGCAAGCATGTTATTATAGTCATGCTTTTTGAAAAACGTAGAAAAGAAATAAGAATGATCTTTTCTGTTTAACATAAGATGAAAAGCATTTTTGTTTCTTAGTATGAAACAAGCAATTCAAACAATAACTCAGTCTAATTTTGCCTTTTTCCTTTTCTGTCACCTGTAGGAAATCGAGAAGGATCAAAAACATTTAAGAGCACCCTGACTGATTATTCAAAGTTTTGGAGCAACATTTAGTAGCTGAATTTGGATTAAGGTGATAGTTCATTTAGACCTTCTTAAGATCTACAAACTATACCTATTGCACATCCATCTCCTTCGAAGAAATGCATCCTGTGCAATGTGTACATATCTACTATTATCTACAAAAAGCACTCCAAAAGTCTTACTAACTTAGTAAGTGCTATCACTCCAAAAGAAACTGAAGGTTAATACATAAAGCTGCATAACATTTATTAGGAACCCTACAACCAGGACGGCAATTTACTGCCAAATTAAATTATAACAATACCACAATCAATTAATCTACACCAAGTTATAACAGACAATAATATGGAAATCTAGTTAATTTAATCAGGCAAGTAGATCGAATTGGTAATACAGGTTTCAGTTCTAAGATGCAGTGGCAAGAGTAGATGCCCAAAAATCTTTGAAAAAACAACAACAACAAACCCAGTGTAATCCAACAAGTGGGGTATGGGGAGTATAGTGAATAGGCAGACCTTACCCCAGGCTGTTTCCGATAGACTCAAAAAAATCTTGGAAAAAACAAGCCAAAAAAAAAAGACCTAAGATACCGAAGTAAGAAAAAATCGAAAAAGCTCTTTTACTTCTCTACCCTAAATGCTTGAATAAAGCAAAACACAATTTCATAATTAGACTGAAATCGAGTAGGTTTAGCTGTAAAATTATCGCACAGATTCAAACACAATTCACAACAGGCAAAAAGTAACACATACACGAAGCAGTCAAATAAAGAGAAACGAACAATTGAAGAATGCGTAGGAGAATAGTTGTGGAGGAAGAGGAGAAAACCTGGAAATCGAAGTTTGAGAGGAACCCAACTTTTGCCAACGGACCAGAAAGTGCAAGGAGTATATATAAGCAAAAGGCAAAGCCTATACAATTTTGCGGTTTTTAATTTTATGCAATAGAGGTTTGGTTTAGGCCTCGGGCAATTATTTATTCCCTTTTAACTAGTATGTATACGAAAAATAATAAAAATTTCAACCACAGTATTTATTACTTATTTTAAATTTAATAAAATATACATCAATTAATATAAATATTATGGTAAATTATATACGGAGTCACTAATAATAAAGTAGAGTTTGAGTAGCTTGGTGTCGTCAGGCGTATTTTGGGAAAATTATAACTGCTTTAGCCTAACACAGGTGGTATCGTTATTTTACCCAGTTTTGACATGTACAACCGTCAAAATGAACGCTCAGTGCATAGGCTGGTTCTTCCTCCAGATTCTCACAGTTGCTCAAATCCTCTTCCAGTTTCGTTTGGAAAATGGGCGTTAATTCTACCTCTGTTTTTTGACCTTATTCTCCAACTATTTCACTTCTCTCCTTGGATCTATACTCTATGCTATGACCAGATAGTTCTGTCACAGATCTCTTGTTCAACTTTAAAGGTAATACATATTTCTCGCTTACTGTAAAGAAATATTTTTTTTAAGTGAATTTATTGGGGTTCTCGGTATTTTTCTGATTGTTGTTGTGCAGAAATTGTTTATATTGGGTAAATTATTGGTCCATCATTCTCCGCACTGCGGCAGCTTGTGAACTCTGTTGCTTAACCAAAAGTCCTAAATTGAGGGAAATGCTAACGATACTCTTTTCTCCTGAGAAGAAAGCCGCGTATTGATGAAGATACAAAGGAGAATGGGAAATGTGATTTTCCCAATTAAAGTACATTTATAGAAGTGCAAGTCATACAGGTATTCCCTATGTGCTAATAGACTTGATTGTTTTCTTTTTTTTCCTGTGTAGAAAAGGTTTTAATTTTTATTTTAACTGTAAGAATCAAATTAGTCAGGAATCGAACATCACTCAAAAATGTATTTTATCTCAACAACATTTTCAGTCCCATAAAAAATTCTATATCCCCAATTTATAGAATCATGAATTATTTATTAGCTCATAAAATAATTTAAAATTCTAAGAAATTTTTGATATATTTAATCAGCTATCCTGCCATGTCCTAAAAGATATAAATCCATGATCCGAAATACAAATGAAATCTAGCGTAATTCATGCTTTGTTTCTGCTCTCTTGCGAGCAGAGTATGTTCATAGGAAAACCAAAGAGACACCAGTTGCTTGGCATTTGTAGATTCCAACATGCTTTAGCTAATTATTCTTCTGAAGTTATTTTCTTCTTTTCAGTTGAAAGCTTGAGCCACTGCCAGTCCAAGACATGTTATATAAATTCAGTGTGTGAGATTCACTGCTATTAGTGAAACAGTCAATATATGAACCTCTATGCGAGATATATTTGTTATTTTGGTACTTTGTTAATGCAGTTGTTGAAATTCATTTCTCTGATCAGATGTTGTTTATCTGCTGGACTTTGAATCTATCTTTTTTTAGTTGGTACCAAGTTTTGTTAAGATCGACTAGTTTTTGGTAAAAAGGTCTTTTTACTGCAATTTTTTGTACTACTTGCCTTTTCCCCCTTTTAATAATTCTATTTATGTGATGACCCAAAATGTCATCTTTAAATCTAATAATTAATTCTGTATTCTAAGATCTCAAAAAGCACTATTTGTCACTCCTCGACTTGCGTGCGAAGTCCGTAAAATTTTTCGGATTATTTTTATGTGAAAAATGGATTAAAATGTGAGCTAGAGCCTTAAAACTCAACTGAGTTGACTTTGGTCAATATTTTGAGCAAACGGACTCGGATCAGTATTTTGACAGTTCCGGTAGGTCCGTATCGTGATTTGGGACTTGGACGTATGCTCGAAATTTAATTTGGAGGTCCCTAGCTCAAGTTATGACCATTTAACGGAAACTAGTAATTTAAAGGCTAAAGATTTTCAAGTTTGACCACGGTGTTGACTTTTTGATATCGGAGTCGGAATCCGGTTTCTAAAATTTTTATAGCTCCGTTATGTCATTTATGACTTGTGTGCAAAATTTTAGGTCAATTGAACTTGATTCGATAGGTTTCGGCATCGAATATAGAAGTTGGAAATTTCATAATAGACTAAGGTTTCAAGTGAGTTCGCACAAGACCTAACTTCAAACGAGCATACCTCTATTGATATGAAGAGTTATATGGTGTATACCTATGAAATGAAAGATCCTTGAGTCTAGTTTCTAACGCTTCAAACCGTTCATCATTTGGACATTCCTACAAAAAGTTATGACCAAATTACCAAAGGCTGACAGAATGCGATTTTGCGACCATTATGCGATCGCAAAATGGTTATGCGACCGCAAACTGGTCGCAAAATGGTCCAGAACAGCCCAGTTCTGGGCACCGATTTGTGCGATCATTTTGCGACCCGCACACCAATTGTGCTGTTCATTGTGCGACCGCATACCTGTTTTCGGAGAGGTAATTTTTCTATTTTTATAACTCGACCCCATTTTGATAAATATGCTTTGGGGTTTATTTTGGGGCATTTATGTGATGATTTTAGAGAGAAGTGAGAGTGTTCTAGAGAGAGGAAGTAGATAAAGTGTCTTGTTCATCATATTCTTGTCCTAAGCCTTGAAAACCAACAAGAAATTCATCAAGTTCTTCGTCAAAGAGGTAAGGTTCTAACCCATAATCTTCAATTTCGAGTTTGGGTAATGATGGGTGATTAAGAGTATGATTCTTGGGGTAAGTGTTCCTTATCCTATATTGATTATATTTCATGATTCCATGCTCATTTACATCATGAATCCGTGAATTTAGGGAAGAAAATTCAGATTTTTATAACATCTTCCAAAAACGAAAATTTAATATTTGAAGGTCCATTTGATATCGGAATTGGATAATTTTTGTATGGTTGAACTCGTAGCGGAATGAGTGTTCGGATTTCGTAAATTTTTTCGGGATTTGAGATGTGGGTCCCACTGTCGAATATTTAAATGAATTTTAGATTTTTATCCGGAAAATTAGTAAATTCATATGGAATTAATTCCTATGATTCGTATTGAGTATATCAAATTGTTAGTGAATAGATTTGAAACTTTTGGAGACAAATTTAAAAAAAAAGTTGTGGTCGAGTAATTGATTGGAAATTGCAAAGCGAGATAAGTGTCGTGGTTAACCTTGACTTGAGGGAATAGAACCCTTAAATTATTTGTTATGTGAAATGCATGTGAACGACATATAGGCGAGGTGACGAGTGTCTATACGTCGTCAAATTAATTGTTTGCCTACTTACTTGAAAAATCATAAATTATTTTAAATCATGAATTAATTATTATAATAATTGTTTCTCTCTTATTCTTTGTCAAATATTAATCCTTGAATTCTTGCATTAATTGTTACATGCTATTTGAACTATGTGTCTTAATTGTTATTTGACATTTAGCATATTAAATATTAAACTGCATATTTTCTCTCTGATTTCTATAATAACTTGCTATTTGTCATTGTTTGTTTCATAATTAAATCATAGTTATTGTATGCTTGTTGTCTTATAATTTTATATTAACTGTTGCATTTATTGGAAAAATTTCTT